ACTTGTTACCGTCTGCCAACTGGATTTAACTCCACTCACTGCCACTCTTTGGGCCCAGCCATCCAGCCAGTTCTTTACGCAGTGAAGAGTACACCCCTCCAAGCCATTATCATGAATAATAAAAGAGCTTTATATGAAAAAAATCTACAAATACTTAAAATGCCCTATCCAGGTGATTTTTAGTTTAACTGAACAGACCCAGATGGATGACAGGAAAGAAACTAGACTTTAACCCTGCCCCCCCAAACAAATAACAACCTCCCTCCCAAAAAACCCTACAATATTTTTTGAGACAAAAGCATAATACAAAAATGTGTCTATCAGGGGCATAGCAAAATATAGCAGGAGGAATTCATTACTGTACCAAAAAAACCTCAGAGCCTCTCAGAAAATTCAGTGTTCTCCTTGCTTGACAACTGAAGCAGCTGCAACAACAGACCTTCCTTTCAAGGCTAGGTTCCACAGCAGTTTAAGCTGATTTAAAGCTGGGTTTCTGCAATCCCTCCATCCAACTACCTCTGACTCACTTTGCATTCAAATGTAGCCAGTGCAACGCAGGAAACGGGTATATAAATTAGGGATGGGGGCAGGGAATAGGGGCAGGACCTTGCCAACTGGTACCATCATTGGTTTAAACTCCATGGAACCATGCCTATGGTACCTGACAGATTGAACTGCTTCTTTTGAAATATTCAGAAAGACTGATAAATTGTTGATCAAACCTATTTGAGATTAATCAATAGACTCTCAGAGTTTTCAGGATGACTGAACCCTCTACTTCTTTCCAGCATGCCTGACAAAAATCAGGATACAACATGAAAAGAAAAAAGGAATAGAACTTCACAGATGACTACTGAAATGTTAAAAATGATAAATATGGAGGAGTTGGAAGCCACTGTGCTGCTAGAAAGCTACAACCTAGTTGCCATTACTGAAACCTGTTGGGATGAATCCCATGACTCAAGTGTGGTTATTGATGGCTGCAGGCTGTTCAGAAGGGACAGATGAGGAAGGAAGGGCAGGGGGGTTGCCTTCTACATCAGGAAATGGATAGATTGGAAAAAGCTGACTCCGAAGAATAGCCACAGGCAGGTTGAAAGTTTATGGGTAAGAACTAGAGACCGAGGCAACAAAGGGAACCTTGTGGTTGGTGTCTACTACAGCCTGCCTGATAAAGGGGAGCCTATTGACAAAGCCTTCTTACTCCAGCTACAGGAGGCATTGCGCTCACAGGCTCTCATCCTGCTGGGGGACTTCAACCACCCTGACATCTGCTGGAAGACTAGCATGGTGAGCTGTAGGCAGTCCAGGAGACTCCTTGAATGCATTGAGGATAACCTCTTAAGCCAGGTAACAGACAGCCCTACCAGAGGGGATGCGATACTGGACCTGATGGTCACCAACACAAATGAGCTAATCAGTGATGTCAAGATTGGAGGCAGCCTGGGCTGCAGTGATCACCCACTGGTGGAGTTTGCAGTCCTGAGGGACATGGATCAGCTGAAGAGTAAAGTCAGGGCCCTGAATTTTAGGAAAGCAAACTTCCAGCTGTTCAAGGAGTTAGCCAATAGGACCCCCTGGGAAACTGCCCTCAGGGGCAAGGGAGCAGAACAGAGCTGGCAGATCTTTAAGGACACTTTCCATAGAGTGCAAGACCTCTCAATCCCCAGGTGTAAGAAATCTGGAAAGAAAGGCAAGAGACTGGCATGGCTGAGGTGAGACCTGCTGGTCAAACTAAAGGGCAAGAAGGAGATGCACAGGCAGTGGAAGCAGGGACAGGTATCCTGGAAAGAGTATAGGGACATTGGCCCAGTTGTGTAGGGATGGGGTCAGGAAGGCCAAAGAGCAGCTGGAGTTGAACTTGGCAAGGGATGCAAAGAATAATAAGG